ATTTTGCATGTTCATGACAAATATTCAACTGATTTTTTAAAAAAGCTTATAAATGCTGTCCCTAATATGACCTTTAAACAGTTGAGTTTACTTTGGAAGTTTGAACCTTAAATAGCTTGGCTTAACAGCTTATTTGAAAACAGAAAAAAGAACATTTTGTTCAGAAAGATTTTGCTTTCATCCAGAAAATTAAGATCTGTATGTAAAGCCAATTCTGCTTAAGTTTGTCCCAACAACCAATGAAAGGTTTAACCTAGAGGTGTACAGTATTACAGAATGCTTTCTCAATTTATACACACCCAGAGGTTGTGTCCATTAAATATTGTTTAGAAGAGATAGTAGCAAAATATTTTGTGAAGTCTCTTTTTGAAACAAAGTTGATCATGACCTTTCATCATAATTTTGTCCTCCAATGATGATTTAAAAATGGCACCTTTGAATCTAAATTGAATGAGATTCTACGTGCATGCATACTGCAACTAACTGATTGTTTTCTAAAGCTTTGGTAGCAGATGATAATACATGGATTTATTTAAGCATAGTAAAGATGGAGGAAAAATATCTAGTTAACATGTAGGAAACATAATTATTGATATTAGCTCAGAACTTTGAAATTAAATGAATTTCAAAGCAGTGCTTGGAGTACTTCTCTTGCAGCTAATGTTAAAACCAACTAACGGAAGAAGTTATTTAGAATTATTTGTGAAGTTGGATAGAAAGGAATTGATTCTGCATTCCAATCAGACTTGTGCTAGTATATATTATCTGTGTCGTTAGTCTTGTTAAAATATATTTAAAAAGCACACGAAAGCTTATACGAAGAACAAACTTAGTTGGTTTCTAAGGTGCTACTGGACAATTTTTATATATATTTTGACCACGTCAGACCAACACGGCTACCTACATTGGTCTTGTTAGTTTCTCTGCGGCAAGAACACTCCAGTTTCCCAAAGAAGAAGAAGAAGAAGAAGAAGAAGAAGAAGAAGAAGAAGAAGAAGAAGAAGAAGAACTTTGTACGGTGATCTCAAAATCTAGGAGTTAGCTCTTTACAATATCTTGGCTGCAAGAAAGTTAAAACAAGCTTTGCTACATTTGACCATTTCAATTATAACATATTGCAAACAGGCATTTCACAAGATGCCTAGCCAATTCTACAGAATATAGAAAAAAATCCTTCCAGTAGCACCTTAAAGACCAACTAAGTTAGTTCTTGGTATGAGCTTTCGTGTGCATGCACACTTCTTCAGATACACGTGCATGCACACGAAAGCTCATACCAAGAACTAACTTAGTTGGTCTTTAAGGTGCTACTGGAAGGATTTTTTTCTGTTTTGACTATGGCAGACCAACACGGCTACCTATCTGCTACAGAATATAAAACAACTTTAATCTATAATTCTACCTCAAAGCATGCTAACATCACACTGCCTTCAATATTTACACACACTTCAGAACATGATCTAATGCAAGGTTTCTCAAACTTGGGTCTCCAGCTGTTTTGGACTACAATTCCCATCATCCTTGACCAATGGTCCTGCTAGCTAGGGATGGTGGGAGAAGTACAGTCATACCTCGGGTTGAATGTGCTTTAGGTTGAGAGCTTTCGGGTTGCGATCCGTGGCAACCCGGAAGTAATGGAACGCGCTACTTCCGGGTTTTGCCGCTCACGCATGTGCAGATGCTCAAAATGACCTCACGCGCATGCGCGGAAGCGGCAAAATGCGAGCCGCACACGCGCAGACGCATCTTACGTTCCATTCAGGATGCGAATGGGGCTCCAGAATGGATCCCGTTCGCATCCCGAGGTACCACTGTAGTCCAAAAACAGCTGGAGACCCAAGTTTTGGAAACCCTGATATAATGCATTCAACTTCAGTTTCATTCCAATTCAAGTAGTGGCATGAAGATCAGGGAAAGAATCCAGAATTCCTTGCTGAGATTTTCAAAATAGTGGCAAGCAGATAATTATTTTTTTAACAGAATGTTAGGGTCTGTACAGGCAACACTTCTTCATTCCTGCTTGGGAATGGGACCACCCAAAGAGATTTGGGCAAACTCCTGCAATTGCAAGAGGAGGAAGGGGAAATTGGAAGGAATTCATATTGAAAAATAAATGAAAGGCGTACAGATCTCCCTCTTCATAGTTTCTACAGCCAGACAACCGTACAATGATAAAACACAAAGAGAACAAATGTTAGCCAAAGTCAACCCAATAATATAGGGGGTATCAACACCACTCAAGGCTGCCCAAAAAAATAATGAGTAATAAAAATTATAACTGAACTGCAGAGACTAGAGAAGGAAGCATAGCACAACAAGCAGATTGAATAAAGAAAGAAGAATCTGAGAAAAGCTGGGGGACTTTCTCAGAGGAGTACAGAACTAGGATGAAAATATTGTACAATACTGTGGGAGAATGTGAAGCTTTTTGAAGCTCAAACAGGGCAATAATTTCCTTACATGAGGAGGGAGGGAGTGGATGCTATACTGCAATGAAGGAACACATCTTTTCTCATCCTCCCAAACACAAAGATGGGAAGGGAAACAATAGTGAGTCTCAAAGGCACAAGTCTGAGAGCACATGGTGAAATTACTAGGAGCGACTGAGGCAGCTTGAGTCTGGTCAGTGTGTGGATGGGAAACACCTGAGAACCTCATGTACACCGCCTTTTGTTCAGAAAAACATGATGCAAATGTACCTACTTATTAGATCCCAGCTGTAATCAGGGACTGACTGGGAGACAGTAAAATGTAGTCCATCAATCTTATTGAAGTCCCTGAGTATTCAACTAAACATTTAAAACTCCTTAATACCTTTAAATCCATTTAAGTCAAGGATGCCATGTTAGATATATAAAACGTTATTCACTCTCCAGTATAATCTGAAACATCCTCACGACCAAGTAATTCCTGAATCCTTATTTTCAAAAGGCCCAAGAAATGTGGAAGTCTTATTGGAAAATTCTCAGTTGTTGACAACTATGAAAAGCAAAATTTACTGGGGATCATTTTATTTTATATATACTGTGATTTCAGAATTTATTGTTTTTACAGTATTCTGTTCTTCAGTTATATTAGGGAAAATTCTTGGATCACATCACTAAAAATATTTTCCTAACAATGTGATTTTTACAAGCCACAGAAAATATGTTCTGAGAATATTTACTACAACATTAAAAATGAAGAAACAATCCAGTACATTATGAAACTATGCTACAGAAGCATAGTTCCTGTAGAGAACCACCTACAGTTATTTTACTAATTTCAGAACACAGTTTATGGACAATTGGCTACTGACTTCAGCAATGAAAGTTGAATCATAGAAAATAATCTGCCATAGAGCTTTTTTTCAATTGGAATTAAAGCAAAGTAAAACTTTGATATTTACACATTGGTCTCTGAAGGGACTTGAAAAAAGGGTGGCTGATAGCAATTTGAATTACTTCATTCACAAAGCTAGGAAATGCTAGGGTGTAACAAGATCCACAATACTTCCTAGAAAGCAAAATGCAGATTATATGTGGTAATGTCATAATGTCATCATCATGCTTGTTAGAAATGAAGGACCTCAGTTATGATTGCAATGTACACATTTGCAAGAATATTCTCTTATAGTCCTCCTCCAAGGCCCAACCACATGGAAAATGAACTTCAATCAAATTATGAAGCTAGAACTGTTGTTTTCTCAAAATAATTAAAATAGAAGAATGTAAAAATTATACTAAAGTAGCCAACCCTTGTCATATGAAGCAACTTTAAAAGCGCAATTATGAAAATATGATGCAGCAAACTGGTCAAATACCTAGAGATGTTCTTTCCTAAAAGCATTTTCTAGGCTTTTATTATTTTCCATAATTGATCTACAATTATTTCCCGGCAATTATAAACACATCACAATCATCTGATCTGGCATATTTGAAACCCTCTTTGCAAAGTTGACAAAATGTAGTTACAAGTTGACAAAACATAAATGTTACAAGTTGTGAAGCAGCCTTCTAGTCTATTCAAGCATACAAAATATTAGTTTTAATGAAAGCAGAAAAAGGAAATATCAAGAGGTAGCCCAGTCTCTCTCAGCAGCATGTTTAATTTATCACATTGTTCTTTTATACCCTTTTCTCCACCCCCACTGTTCTGCCCGGACACTGAGGTCCAGTGCCGCGGGCCTTCTGGCAGTTCCCTCACTGTGAGAAGCAAAATTACAGAGAACCAGGCAGAGGGACTTCTTGGCAGTGATGCCCACCCTGTGGTACACCCTCCCACCAGATGTCAAAGAAATAAACAACTATCTGACTTTTAAAAGTCATCTGAAGGCAGCCCTGTTTACGGAAGCTTTTAACATTTGATGAATTATTGTATTTTAATATTTTGCTGGAAGCCGCCCAGAGTGGCTGGGGGAACCCGCCCAGAGTGGCTGGGGGAACCCGCCAGATTATTATTATTATTATTATTATTATTATTATTATTATTATTATTATGATGCACAGGTCAAGATGCTGGTCTCAAAAATAGCTGCTAGGAGAGAAGGAAAACAAAAACAAGCACCTAAAGTTACAAATGCTAGTTGCATTTTAGGGTGGTTTTTTTTTTTTAAAAAGAACTTGACTATTAATAGATGTTATTTTTCTTATGATTAATATCCAGAAAGATGCTGCTGCATGTGCATATCTTATGCATGCCTAGGTGCTCCATGGATGTCAGATTGTATATTTTGTCACAAAAGAACAGCAGTGGATCCCCTCCAACTTTTCATTCTTAAAGTCAGAGATCCAATGACTGATTCTTATGTAACATCTGGTGGCGTAATTGAGGTGATCCTAACGTCACCTGGGTCCAGGATGACACTTAGCAAAAGCTGATTTATCTCAAGAATTCACTAAAAGCATGCAGACACCTTTTTCACACTGACATCCTCTCTGAAGATGATGTTGAGACTATTAATCTAGATCTACATGCAAGATTATTAAGCATTTACAAATGCATGTCACAGAGCTACTTACCAACTCTATTCCCTGTGGAAAAGGAGTGTCATCCAAATCCTTTAAGGGAAATCTCTGGATTATTTTCCCCAGACCATCTCCTGATCCTAAAGTGGAAGGAAAGGGAGAGAGGGGGAGGGGGAAAGAATGAGATCATGAATATTGATGTTTTGCTTTTCCAGTCAAAAGTTTACACATATGAAAAAAGTCACAATCTAATGCATACTTGCATCTGGTTAAACTGTGGCAAGAACATTTTGAGTTCTAGAAACTGTATTCAAGTGACTGCTGAAGACTGCAGAATTTAAGTTCCAGCGACACATACATGGTACCCAATCTTGTTTTCAGAAACTATGTTCTGTATTTTTACACACAGCAGTGACATTAAGACACACTGAATACTCAATGTATACTCTTAGACATAGGCATAATGATGCCACAATGCAATAATAAAAATTCTTAATTTTACTATGCACCCATCGTGGTACTTCTTGCACATCAACCACATCAACCAGATAGGAAAATGTACAGTTGCATAAAAATGCAAGGGGGAGCACATGAATGTGTCATCCCTACAGGAATATGTAACAGCATAGTACAAAATCAATTTAGCATTTCCACCTTCCGTGTACATTTATGGCTTGCCTCTATTCAAGGTATTGTAACTTAACTTGTCCCTGAGCAAACTCCCATATAGCTTCCGTTCAGTCACTGCAGATCTGATGTTGAATGGAAGATACATATTCAAGAACCAATGCAAGTAAACTCCAGTTTTACTGTACTATAAAATACTGCTTCATTGCATCATATTACACACATTTTAATTTACAGTAATATAATTAAATGGAACCCAGTACTTGTACATGATCTAACTGTGCTTGAAGCACCATAGAGTAAACAAGAAAAGAAAGCTGGATCTATCTTAGAGGTCAGTTAAATATACAATTAGCTTGTGTGTGTGTGTTTTCACGAGGGCGGGCAGTTTTGTTTCAATGCAGCATTTTAAGCAACATAATAAGTGCCCATGAGAATCAGATCAACCTAGTTCAGCATTCTGTTCCCACAGTAGCCAATCAGATGCCTATGGGAAGCCCACAAACATCACATGAATACAACAGCAGTCTCTCCCTCATGATACCCAAAAACTGACACTGGAAGTAGTACAGCCACAATTGACAGCCTTATCCTCCATGAATTTGTCAATTTTCTTTCAAAGCCATCTAAGTTGGCAGCCATTATTACAGTGAACCATGGCAGTGAATGCCATAGTTATGCATTATGTCTCTCCTTAATCTCCCAACATTCACCTTCATTAGATGGTATTCTGAGAGGGGAAGATCTTCTTAATCCACTTTCTCCACACTATGCATCCATTTTATACACCTCTTTCATGTCCCCCCCTTACTTGCTTTTTTTTTTTTAAAGGGGCCCAAAACTTGTAATTTTCCCAAACCCCTTGATCGTTTTGGCTTCCCTTTTCTGAATCATTTCCAGCTCTACAGTATCCTTATTTTGATGTGCGGCAATGAGAATTTTATATAATATCCCAAATGCAGTTGCACTACAGATTTGTATCGAGGCAATGTAAGATTGGCAATTTTATTTTCAATCCATTTCCTAATTATCCCCTAGGATTTAGCTCTTTCACAGCTGCTGCACATATTTTAAATAAGCTGTCCACTACAACCCCAAGATCCCTTTCCTGGTCAGTAACAGCCAGTTCAGCGCACTACAGTGGTACTTCGGGTTACATACGCTTCAGGTTACATACGCTTCAGGTTACAGACTCCGCTAACCCAGAAACAGTACCTCGGGTTAAGAACTTTGCTTCAGGATGAGAACAGAAATCGCGCGGTGGCGGCACAACAGCTGCAGGAGGCCCCATTAGCTAAAGTGGTGCTTCAGTTTAAGAACAGTTTCAGGTTAAGAATGGACCTCCGGAACGAATTAAGTACGTAACCAGAGGTACCACTGTATTAGTGTTAATGTAAGGTTAGGAAGTTTTGCCCCAAACAGCATCACTTAAGGAAGGAAGCTGCAAAGTGCTTTTTACATACAATACACTTCTATCCAGTATCTGCAATAGACCACATTAATTTTAAGTTGCCATTAATTTTAAGTTGTATAATCAAGTTGCCGACATTATGTAAACATATTGTGTAATACAGAAACATTCTATCATACTTGCATAAAATCTAGGTAGAGATATAGTACCAGGATACTATTCTAATTTTACATTCCTTGTTAAAGATCAGATTGAAAGAAATAGAACAGATATCCAGAATACAACTGGTTGTATCATCAAGGTTTAAACACAGAGTGATCTGAGGGATCAATTACAAAATTGCAACATCACAAAAATATAATATACAAAGTTATGCAGGAATACAACTGTAAGTTGCCCCAAATATTGTTGACATAGGACTGTATCCAATTGTGTCCCTGAACTTATATCAAGCTTCTGTGAGTAGAATGGGGGGATAGTTTTTGCTGAGTCACCCTCCCCTCTGAATTCCTTCCACACAATCTGCCCCAGAGCATTGGGAACCGTTTGGAACAGCATGGAGGGGGGGCTGCCAGAGAAGGGAGGAATTCAGAGAAATCACCTTCCACTCGATCCATGAGCTGCTGGTTTCTTCAGTTGGTGAAACATCAGCAAAATGCATCAGTAGTTCTGTGCTCTTTTTTATTCTCCTTATATGAAGGGGATGTGGTCTTTTAAGGTCAGGAGGAGGGAGGGGGAGAGAGAGAGAGAGTACATGACTTTATGTGGCTGCTGTATCATTGCCTGCTGTCTCCTGACTGGAATGTGTAGCACAAGCTCATTCTGGCTGACTCTTCTGGCTTTGAAAAGGACAGGCACCTGGGATGTTGCCATCCCAGAATATTGGGGAGGTGACTGGAAGTGGTAGCAGAAGCAGGCAGAAGCTTAGCAGAGAATGAGTGAAGACTCTAAATAATTGCTTGCAAGACAGCATTAATATTGCTGTACATCAGAGCAACTCCCTATTTCAATGTAGCCTCCCAAGAATGAAGTCATCAAAAATAAAATAAGGATATCAGACCTAGCATCCATATTTCTCTCAAAAAATGCAGCACATTCTACTTTAAAAAAAAATCTCAAGGGAAAAGTACACACCAAATTCTTCTAATATTTTGATATAAATTTTGTGATGATCCCTGATTATTCTTTGTTCCTTAGACCCATAAAGTCAACTCACAACATTAAACTGCAATAAAATTCCTAGCTCCCATAAATTCACCGGGTCATTGACTTTAACAATCTTCAACTGACTCGTTCAAATTGTCAGCTAGTCTCTTGTTTTGGATATCTCTGATTACAGGATTTCTATCACACTGTAAATGCGAACACACACATCATTTTACATTCTTAAACATGGCAACAAAGAAGGTGTTAGCAGAAAATGTTTTATTAGGAGCATATGGAAAAAAATTGTAGCAAGCAAGGCTGGTTTCAAGTTCAACAGACTAATGGCAGTTATGACAACATTCCATAAATATTGGGAGGCAACGTTCCAAAGAACAACTCCTTGTCAAATAAAATTTCATTCAAACTTTTTTTCACTTCCAGATTATAATGTAGTATTAATGAAGTCTTAAAATTTGGAATGTATATTCTTTCTCATCTTCTGCTGCTCATGCCCCAAACTACTTCCCACAAAACATATTCAGAACACATTCTCTTTCTTCTCTTCAAAGCACATGCATCATTTTGTGACATAGTAATTCAGTTTTACTAGCAAACCAAGGGTTAAACTAACCCCCTATAAGAGATACAGACACATATTGCATGACACACCTACACACTGCAGCTGACACACTAACATGTTGCAACACAGAGTTTGGAAACCTCTGCCTTACTGAAACAGAGTAGACATACATTAACTAAACTGAATGCATACCCTCCTATTTCATCCTTCTCACTTAGCCCATAGCCTTCTTTGTGTTGAGCCTCAGAGTAAGCTCCTTTTTGTAACTTCATAAAGTTCCATGCACATCAAGCTTCTTTGAGTAACTCCACCATTACACATCATTCTTTCAGTGCTAGAAAAAAAAGTTAGACTTCAGTTGAGAGTTAAGATTACCAATTAGTTATTTTTGTGATCCTGCAGTGCCCTAAACACAACTGCTCCCAGATTCAGATTTGCAAAGTATAGATCTTAACTCCTATCTCCAATGTGGATACCTCTCACTAAAGTCTCACACCAGCTGTAGAATACACTTTGGGGCTCTCTCTAGGACAGCTTTCCCACTCCTTTGCCCTCCAAATAATATGGATCACAACTTGCCTCAGCCCTGGTCATCATGGCAGTCAGGGATGGTAGGAGTTACAGTCCAAAACATGTGAAGGGCACCAGTTTGGGAAGGTTGTACTAGGACAAAAAAATGATTACCATATACTGGAACAGTCACTTTCCTCTCTGGGCTCTTTCAGTCTTGAAGACAAGAAATATTAGTCTTCTAGCCTAAATGAAGAGGGTATGCCATGTGACAGTAACAATGGTGAGCCTGCAGGATGCTTCACCCTGCAATACACACAAATTCAATGCAAGAGAGGCTGAAACTAATTGAAAATTAGTAAGCAGTTGAGCTTCTTACAATGCCTATCATCTGGTGACATTATTAGGATAGGATCCAAAGAATCTAGTGGAAATCTGTGGGGCTCTAGTTGCTCCTCTCTCTCAGTGCAGATCTCTTAACCCCCCAATAAAGTCATTCTATGGGTTAAGGAATCTCCAGAATAGCACTGGAGAGGGGCAGCAAGCAGGAGAGATAGTGTGATAAATCCCAGAGCTTCCTACATGTAGAAGCAATTACAAGAAGGAAAAGACTTCTAAATATTTTCTTTTTCATTCCTCATTTACAGTAACATATCAGTGCCAGGATAACTAACTAACACTCTCTCTCTCTCTCTCTCTCTCTCTCTCTCACACACACACACACACACACACTTATGTCCTTCCATACCAGGCCTGATGGTTAGAAACTTGCCTGCCTCAATGAATGAACATTTTCAAGTTTTAGCTGATTAATCTATCAAATCAGCTAAAGAATGGAGCCCTGCTTTTCTCATGTACATGCAGGT